ATAAATATAGTATTGGACCTATACCGGGCTCTGGAACTAAAATATGGACCCGGTATCCAAAAATTCAAACATTGGTCAAACATTTCAAAGTGATTAAGCTTTTAACTTTGAAATTTCAACAAAGTGCGATAACTCGGGATAGGGACTTTCGAATTCGATTCCGGGCATACGCCCAAGTTCCAAATCATGATACGGATCCACCAAGACCATCAAAACATGAATCCGGGTCCGTTTGCTCAAAACGTTGACCGAAGTAAACTCAAATGAATTTTTAAGGCAAAAATTTCATATTTTCTCAGTTTTTTACATAAAAGCTTTCTGGAAAAACACTCTGACTGCGCATGCAAATCGAGAAAGGCTAAAATGAGGTATTTAAGGCTTCAAAGCGCAGAATTAGGTTCTAAAACATAAGATGACCTATAGGATCATCACATTCTCCACCTCTAAAACAACCATTCGTCCTCGAACGGACATAGAAAAGTACCTGGGCTGGTGAAAAGGTGGGGATATATACTCCGCATGTCTGATTCGGACTCCCAAGTAGCTACCTCGATGAGCTGACCTCTCCATTACACTTAGACTGAAGGATAACTCTTCGACCTCAACTGGAGAACCTGCTGGGCTAGGATAGCCACCAGCTCCTCTTCGTAAGTCAAATCCTTGTCCAACTGGACAGAGCTGAAATATAACACGTGGGACGGGTCACCGTGATACTTCTAGAGCATGGACACATGGAACACCGGATGAACTGCTGATAAACTCGGTGGCAACGCAAGCCTGTAAGCCACCTTTCCCGCTCTCTCAAGAATCTCAAAAGGCCAGATATACCTAGGGCTCAACTTGCCCTTCTTTCTGAACCTTATCACACCCTTTATGGGTGATACCCGGAGCAACACTCTCTCTCCGACCATGAATGCAACATCACGAACTCTACGATCGGCATAACTCTTCTGCCTGGACTGAGCTGTGCGAAGTCGATCCTGAATAATCTTGACCGTATCCAAGGCATCATGTACCAAATCTGTACCCAATAACCAAGTCTCCCCCGGCTCGAACCATCCAAGGTGATCAGCACCGCCTATCGTATAATGCCTTATAGGGAGCCATCTGAATGCTCGAGTGGTAGCTGTTGTTATAGGAAAACTCTGCCAGCGGCAAGAACTAATCCCAAGAACCTCCGAAGTCTATAACACAAGCGCGAAGCATATCCTCCAATATCTGAATAGTGTGCTTAGACTGTCCTTCCGTCTGAGGATGAACTGTTGTGCTCAGCTCCACCTGCATGCCTAACTCACGCTGTACTGCCCTCTAAAAGTGCGAGGTGAACTGTGTACCTCGATCAGAAGTGATAGACACGGGCACACCGTGAAGACAGACGATCTCGGGGATGTAAATCTCTGCCAATCACTTTGAAGAATAGGTAACTGCCACAGGAATGAAGTGCACTGACTTGGTCAGTCTGTCCATAATGACCCAAACTGCATCGAACTTCCTCTGAGTCCATGGGAGTCCAACAATGAAATCCATAGTGATACGCTCCCACTTCCACTCAGGAATCTCTAACTTCTGAAGCAAACGTCTTTGATGCTCACAATTTACCTGCTGACAATTTAGACACCGAGCTACATATGCAACTATGTCCTTCTTCATTCCCCTCCACCAATAATGCTGCCACAAGTCCTGATACATCTTGCCGTCGCCTAGATGAATAGAATACCGAGAATTGTGGATCTCCTCAAGAATCAACTCACGAAGTCCATCCATATTAGGCACACAAATACGACCCTGCATCCTCAAAACTCCATCATCTCCAACAGTAACTTGCTTGGCACCACCATGCCACATTGTGTCCTTATGTACAAGCAAATGAGGGTCGTCATACTGCCACTCCGTGATGCGCTAAAATAAGGAAGACCGAGCGACTGTACAAGCTAGGACACGGCTGGGCTCTGAAATATCTAGCCTCACAAACTGATTGGCCAAAGCCTGAACATCTGATGCAAGCGGTCTCTCACCGACTGGAATGTATGCAAGGCTGCCCATACTCGCTGCCTTTCTACTCAAAGCGTCGACCACCACATTGGCCTTCTCGGGATGATACAAGATGGTGATATCATAGTCTTTTAATAGCTCCAACCACCTCCCCGGTCTCAAATTGAGATCCTTTTGCTTGAACAAATACTGTAGGCTCTGATGATCCATGAAAACCTCACACGACACGCCGTAAAGATAGTGCCTCCAAATCTTCAGCACATGAACAATGGCTGCCAACTCTAAGTCATGGACATGGTAATTCTTCTCATGAATGTTCAACTGCCACGATGCATATGCAATCACCCTGCCATCCTGCATCAATACTGCACTGAGCCCAACACAGGATACATCACAATATACCGTATAAGATCCTGAACTTGTGGGCAACACCAACACCGGCGCTGTAGTTAAAGAAGTCTTGAGCTTCTGAAAGCTCGCCTCACACTCGTCTGACCATCTGAACGGGGCACCCTTCTGGGTCACCCTGGTCAACGGGGCTGCTATAGATAAAAACCCCTCCACAAACCAACGGTAATAATCCGCCAATCCCAAGAAACTCCGAATCTCCGTGGCTGAAGTGGGTCTTGGCCAGTTCTGAACTGCCTAAATCTTCTTAGGGTCTACCTGAATTTCCCCTGCTGATACAACGTGCCCTATGAAAGCGACCGAATCCAACCAAAACTCGCACTTTGAAAACTTAGCATATAACTAGTTGTCTCTCAGAGTTTGAAGTACAATCCGAAGATGCTGCTCGTGCTCCTCTCGACTGTGGGAGTAGATCAAGATATCATCAATAAACACAATCACAAAGGAGTCCAAATAAGGCTTGAACACTCGGTTCATCAGATCCATAAATGCTGCTGGGGCATTTGCCAACCCAAAGGACATTACTAGAAACTTATAATGCCCGTAGTGAGTCCGGAATACTATCTTAGGGACATCAGATGCCCTAATCCTCAACTGATGGTAGCCCGAGCTAAAATCAATCTTCGAAAACATCTTGGCACCCTGAAGCTGATCAAATAAGTCATCAATCCTCGGCAATGGATACTTGTTCTTGATGGTGACTTTGTCCAACTACCGATAATCTATGCACATCCTCATCGATCCATCCTTCTTCTTCACGAACAACACAGGCACACCCCAGGGTGAGACACTAGGTCTAATGAAGCCCTTATCAAGCAAATCTTGCAACTACTCCTTCAACTCTTTCAACTCTGGCGGGGCCATACATTATGGAGGGGAGGTAAAAGGGCCAAAACAACGTCAATTATGGATAAAAAGGGTATAGGCTTGTAATGTGGGTACCAAATAAAAGTCTATAGGCTCAAAGGGGTTAACTAAGGACAAATTTTATTTGTGATAGCGATAACGCTCGAAAAGATCAAAGAAAGCCTAAAATCATTTTTCAAACTGAGCATCACCTCAAATTTCGCTTCAATTCACATATCGGGCAAGTTCTAGACACAAGTACAATATATAGACTACACAAAAACCTTACCACACATGGCACATGACTCACTAAGGACGGTCTCATTCCGACTCTCAACTAATGTAAGTATTCACAAAGCCACAAGATATTAAGCATTAAGCACAGAGTGAACATAAGTCAAGAAAATGAGACATAGGCATCACAAAACATGCTATCCAAATAATCAAGGCATCATAAGCACTTTTAGCACATAGGGAAGATACTACGCATGCCAAAACCTAAATATGCTGCCATCAAACAAGTCAAGGGCACCTAGGAATCTCTCCTCCATTTATTCCTTAAATTCTAATCTAATCTAAAAATAAAAATAAAAATAAAAGGTAAAATACTGCCTGGTTCAAGCAAAGCCCTTGGAAAAGAACCGCGGCCCAAAGAAAAATCAAGAGGGAATTACTACACTACCAACAAAGAAAATCTTTTTGTCCTTTTTCTTTAGACTTAAATCCCTCAAGAAACCCTTCGAATGAGATCCATCGTCGGGAGAAGTCCAATTTTTCTACTTTTTTCATTTTTTTTTGCAACTACTAAAATACTACACAACTACGAAAATAAAAATAAGAAGTTAACATTTTTCTAACATACTACTATTAATTATCTGGAGAATTCTCCCACCCCACACTTAAAAGAGTGCAGTGTCCCCAATGCAGAAATAAAGCAAAACAATAACAAGGGTGGACAAGAAACTCCCTGAAAGGCCAAAGGCCGAAGCAATAGCGGCTCACTGGTACTCAGACTTCCCCAAGGCATGGTCCTTTGTGTGGCACCCCACACTTAGTTCTCACCATCTAACTCGCTTTTGCACTCTTACAATGGCTTTGCCTCTTAAGAAATAAAAACAAAATAGAAATAAACGAAAGCAATAAGATGGGTTGTCTCCCAACAAGTGCCTGATTTAATGTCGCGGTACTACGCAGAATTTCGCGTACTCATCAGCGAGTACAACCTTGGTCTTCTCACGATCAATTATTCCTCCCCAATAATGCTTTACTCTGTGTCCATTCACCAAATTTTATTTTTCACCATTCAAAGCTCGCAGCTCAATTGCACCATAAGGAGTGACTCTCACTACCTCAAACGGGCCTGACCATCTCGATTTTAACTTCCCAGGAAATAGCCTTAGTCTAGAATTGAACAATAATACTTGTTGGCCTGGCTTGAAGTGACGCGGTTTGATATGCTTGTCGTGCCATATTTTTATCTTTTCTTTGTGAAGCTTAGCATTTTCATACGAGTGCAGCCTGAACTCATCTAACTCATTCAACTGCAAGAGTTTTCTCTCGCCCGTGGCTTCAAGGTCCATATTTAACTTCTTAATGGTCCAATATACTTTGTGTTCAAGTTTAACAAGCAAGTGACATGCCTTCCCATAAACTAGCTTATACCGCGACGCCCCAATTAGCGTTTTGTATGCAGTTCTATATGCCCACAAGGCATCATCTAACTTTGCAGTTCAATCTTTTCTATTCATACTCACCGTCTTCTCTAAGATTTGCTTTATTTCTCTATTAGACACCTCTTCTTGTCCACTTGTTTGAGGATGATATGCAGTTGCAACTCTAGGGCGGACTCCATATTTAGCTAGAAGGTTATTCAACAACCAATTTAAAAGCGTGTCCCTTCATCACTAATCAAATCACGTGGAGTCCCGAATCTCGAAAATATGTTCTTTTTTACAAACGCGGCTACCACCATGGCATCATTTGTTGGCAATGCGATCGCCTCTACCCATTTTGACACGTAGTCAACTTCTAGCAAAATGTATTTGTTTCCTCTGGACAATGGGAATGGTCCCATAAAATTTATCCCCCACACATAAAAAATCTCGACCTCCAGGATGTTATTCAAAGGCATCTCATGCCTCTTTGTGATTGTTCCTGTTCTCTAACACTGGTCACACTTCTTAACAAATGCATGGGCGTCCTTGAATAATGTTGGCGAAAATAAATCGGATTGTAATACCTTTTGCAGCTATTCTATCGCCTCCATAATGGACCCCATAGGGTGATGCATGACAATCATACAACACTAGTTTGACCTCCTTTTCAGGTATGCATCTCCTCATCATTTGGTCAGCACACTGCTTGTACAAATATGGCTCATCCCAATAGTAAAAGTTCATATCATGTAGAAACCTCTTTCTAGCTTCAGATTCAATTTCAGGAGGAAGTACCCCACTCACCAGATAATTCACATAGTCCGCGTACCATGGGGGAGGGTCTTGGTTGATAGCAAAAAGTTGCTCATCAGGAAATACTTCTTTAATTTGGCTACCCTCCTCCACGTGGTTGTGATTTTCTAGCCTTTATAGATGGTCAACTACTTGGTTCTCTATGCCCTTTCGATCTCGTATTTCCACATCAAATTCCTGCAACAACAAAACCCAGCGCATCAATCTAGCCTTAGATTCCTTCTTTGTAAATAGATACCTGATTGCTGCATGATCGGTATGGACTATGACTTTTGTTCCCACCAAGTATGCCCAAAATATCTCAAAGGCCCACACCATAGCTAACAACTCCTTTTCGGTGGTGGTGTAATTCAGCTGCGCATCATTAAGAGTCTTACTCGCATAGTAGAATGAATAAAACATTTTGTCCTTCCTCTGGCCTAGCACTGCCCCAATAGCATGGTCACTTGCATCACATATAAGCTCAAATTGTAAGGACCAATCCGGTGCGACAATAATGGGGGCAAACACCAGCTTCTTTTTGAGCTCTTCGAATGCTTTCACAAACAAATTTTCTTCAAACAATCATCATAAGAAGACCCAATGACTGAAAAATCATCCATAAGAACTTCCACAAATGTTTCTACCATATCAGTGAAAATAGCTATCATGCATCTCTGGAAAGTAGCTGGTGCATTACAAAGACCAAATGGCATTTGCTTGAAGGCGAAAGTTCCATAAGGACAAGTAAAAGTGGTCTTCTTCTGATCCTCTAGGCATATGGCGATCTAGTTGTACCCAGAATAACCATTAAGGAAGCAATAATAATCATGCCCCGCCAATCTGTCCAACATTTGGTCAATGAATGGAAGCGGGAAGTGGTCCTTGCGGGTTGCTTTGTTAAGCTTTTTGTAATCAATGCAAACTCTCCACCCCGTCACAGTGCGGGTAGGAATTAGCTCATGTTTTTCATTCTCAACCACAGTCATCCCTCCCTTTTTAGGGACACATTGTACTGGGCTTACCTAGTTGTTGTCAGAGATGGGAAAGATGATACATGCATCGAGCCACTTAATTACTTCCTTTTTCATGACTTCTTTCATGATAGGATTCAATCTCCTATGCTTCTCAACAATGGGGCAGTGTCCATCTTCCAGAAAGATTTTATGCATGCAAAACGATGGACCGATTCCTTTGATGTCAGCAATTGTCCACCCTATAGCCTTTTTATGCTTGCGAAGTACTCTGAGAAATTTTTCTTCTTGTACATTAGTCAGGCTGGACGAGATAATTACTGGCAATGTTTCAGAGTTCCCCAAATAAGCATAACAAAGATGTACTGGAAGGGGTTTTAATTCTATATTTGGAGCTTCCTCAATAGATGGCTTAGGGAGGGTCAGTGTAACAGGCCTGCCCAACTCCTCAAACTTCCCAAACCCATGGACATAATTGCAAAATGTAGCAAGTACTTGTTAATTTTTGCCCATTATCTTATCTTCAATGTCTTCTTCATTCCCAATCAAAGCTCGTTTAAGAGGATCTACGGGGCTCATATATGGCACCAATGACACAACATTGCTTTCCACTACAGAAATCATGGATAGCTCTTCATAGTGGGCTAGCAATTTGAGTGCTTTGTACATATTAAATACCTCCACTTGATCACCTACTCTCATCGTCATATTTCCTTCGTATACATCAATAATAGCTCGGCCTGTGGCCAAGAATGGACGCCCCAAAATAAATGGGATTTCCTGATCAGGCTCATAGTCCAAGATAATAAAATCAACAGGGAATATGAAAGAACCCACTTCAACTAACACATCTTCAATCACTCCTTCCGGATGAGCAAGGGAGTGATCAGCCAACTGTAAGATTACCGTTGTTGGGCGCGGGTCACCCAAACCCAACTATCTGAACATGGATAGCAGCATCATATTGATGCTCGCTTCAACATCACACAAAGCTCGCCCGACTGCATGTTTACCAATCGAGATTTGGATAGTGAAACTACCTAGATCCTTCAATTTCTGAGGTAGCTTGCTTTGGATTCTAGAGCTACATTCCTCAGTGAGTGCCACAGTCTCGAATTCAGTCGGCCTCCTTTTATTTGCCACTATGTCCTTGATGTATTTTGCATATTTGGGAACTTCTTGCAGGATGTCTACCCGTGGAATATTTATTTGCACCTGCTTCAAAATATCAAGAATTTTTTTATACGCGGCATTATCCTTCACTTTCTGCAATTTTTGAGGAAACGGAGGTGGTGGCCTGACAACTAATGGTGGGGGTTGCTTAGCCACCGCCTCTTCAACTAGCTTCTCAGACTCCTTTGATTTTTCTGATTCTGACTCTATAGTGGCCGAGTTCTTATTAAAGGTCACTTATTTTCTCTTTTTTGACTGGACTTCTTCTAATTGTCTCTCATTCCTCAATGAGAAAGGATTAGCCTTAGTGTCACTTGGAAGAGCTCTAACTGGTCGAGTATTTTGGGCACTGGCAAGTTGTCCCATTTGGCACTCCAAATTTCTCATTGTTGCGACTTGAGCCTACTGGTCAACCATCACTTTTTTTATCATCTCTGCGGTGTGGGCTTGTTGGTCAGCCATCAATTTCTTCATCATTTCCTCAATGTGATTTGTTGAGTTTGCATGTTGTTCAGCCTGAGGTGGTCTATATTGTTGTTGAGGAGCTTGTGGTCGGTATTGATTTTGAGCACCTTGATTTCCACCCCAAGAGAAGTTTGGGTGGTTCCTCCAGTTGGGATTGTAAGTGTTCCCATATTGGTTTGTCTAGCCCCTATTTGCATTACCCACAAACCAGACAGACTCTGAATTTACTGGGCATAAGTCTCCCGTGTGACCCTCTCCACATACTTCACAAAACACTTAAACCTGTTGCACTGGTTAAGCTTGTTGCTTGTTAATAACCAAGGTCATCAGATTGACTTGGTTGGTCAGTGTAAAAATCGGCACTGATAATGCCGAGACAACATCTAACTCGAGAACCCCAGCAGATTTTTGCACCGTGTATCTTCCCATTTGTCCTTGCCAATCCGGATTGCTTTTGGAGAATTCGTTCAATAATGCATATATCTTGTCAAAGCTTTTCTCCAACACTTGACCTCCAGGTGCAACATCTACCACAATTTTTGTCTCAGGATGTAGCCCTTCTATGAAAGTGTGAGCTAAAACTTCATTTGTCTGATTATGATGAGGACAATCTCTGAGCAGCCTCTTGAACCTCTCCCAAGCTGAGTATAGAGACTCCCCCACTTTCTGTTTGAAGGCGACTATCTCACTTATGATCTTTGTAGCTTTTCCTGAAGGGAAGAACCTTGCCAGATTATTCCATGATGCAATAGAATTAGCTGGTTCTACCTTCAGCAATCGCTTTGCTTCGCCCAACAGAGAGAATGGAAAAGTGTGAGCCTCACATAGTCTGGAGTGACCCCGTTAGTGATGTAAGTATCACTAATCTCCAAGAAGTTCAGGATATGCTGTTATGGATCCTCGTATGGAAGACCCATAAACTGCCCACTCGCATGAAGTAGCTGGATCATGCCCTGTTTCAGCTCAAAGTGCCCAGTGATTCTGGGCTTCACAATGCTGGAGGTGACATTAGCAATGCTGGGCATCGCCACTTCCTGAACAGCCATGTGTTGCTCCTCTACCATATTCACAGGAAATTGAACGAGTGCCTGAAGTTTATTTGTATCCCTTGCTTCCCTCAACCTCCTACGAAATGTTCTCTCAGGTTCGAGGTTAAAGCCTTTAAGCCTGTCCTGGCTTCTGACCCTGCGCATTCAATCAAAGTTCCTGATATAAGAGCAGCAATCAAGTAACGTTAGACTTGACGAAACAAACAATTAAAGCAAAAACTAGAAAGTAGTCAATATTCAGGACTTAACGAAATAAATAATTATAGTATTGATGTTCGGCTATAATTACATATTTTTAGTGCATTACTTACCTTGCATTTTGGAGCTTTAATGCTAAACTATACTATATTTGTGCTTAATTGAGTTTATTTTATGTGTAGGTACATTGGAGATGAAATTGGAGCAAAATAAATATTTAAAGTGTAATTCATGCACTAAAACAATGGGCTTTTTGCTTGAACTAGTATCGAAATAAACAATTATAGTATCAAGATTATTTGTATCCCTTGCTTCCCACTGGGTGTGCCACAAAAACTTGTTGTTTCCCCAAGTACACGCAAGTATGTGTGGCCGTCAAGTAATAAAGTGACTCGAAAGTCGAATGTCGAACCCACAGAGACTTAGATTAACCGTTAACTAAGAAAACTAAAATCCATTTACTGTCCAAGATGATCAAAAGTTTAACTTTTCTATTACAACTACTATTGCAAAATTCAAACACGTAACCAATGGAGATATAGATTTCAGGGTTGTGGTCAGTTTATCGATCCTATTGAGTTCGTAATTACACCTGTTAATCCAAATTATTTATGATTGCTAGTTGACCGGATTGTTTATATAAATAACACGTTCCCACAATAGTATCTGTCTATCCATAATATATCAACCCTATATTCTCATGAAAGAATATAATACGGTATTTAACTAAGCAAGACTGTTAGGTATATACCTATCCTAACCGCAAAATCTTTCCCCAAGCCACGGGTTCAGAAGCAAGCTCTCTCCAATTCTACTCTAATCTAAACACGGCTTTCCCAAGCATAGCATAGATAGTAAATAGAACTCAACTGCTGGCCAAACAATTAAGCAATTATGCACAGAATTAGAGAAACAGCCAAAGATGATAACTTGAATTAACGGTAATATAATTAATAAACTTCAATATTCATGACAACCACAACCCTAGAACGTGAAGTTTAGCTCCACATATACATGGTAGCAAAACAACAAATCATCAAGAAAAAGTAAAGATTACTAAGTTTGATGGAAGAAAGATGGAATCTGATGAATTCCGGCCTCCACGGCGGCTCTGTGCTCTCCCTTCGTCTAAAGTCTCAGTCTCCTCGTCTAAAAAGGTGTTTAATGACTATTTATATGTGTAGGGAAAAGTCTCAAACAAAATAACCAAGTCCAAAACCAAATAGGAGACAAAATAGGCTTTAAACATCTGGAACACCCTCGCTACAGGCCTCGCCTCGCGAGGCAAAACGCCTGGTCCACCTCGCTATACCCCTGGCGGCGCAACCTCTGATGCACGGTTTCCACTGTGCGACGCGAGGTATTTCGCGAGCAAAATTCGTTGTTGCGCCTGTTCTGTTTCTGCTTAGTTTCAATTCCTTTGCTTTGCCTAACTTTTCCTTCTTTCACGTTTTCATTTCTATTTCTTTATTTTCAATTCCTTTGCTTGTTTCATTTTGTCTTCTTTTGCTGTTGTCTTCAATTATTTGTCTTCAATTGCTATTTCATTATCTCATTATAATATTCCCCGTCATCAAATAATCACGAGACATTCTTGTAGTGCATAAAATATACATAAAATCTCTATTTTGCTCCCAATTTTGTCTTCAACGTACCTACACATAAAATAGACTCATTTAAGAACAAATATAGTATAATTTAGTATTAAAGCACCTAAATGTACGATAAGTAATGCACTAAAAATACGGAATTATAGCCAAACATCACTACCCCGCACTTAAACGTTGCTCGTCCTCGAGTCAACTAACAATTCACACTATCCTTGAGCACTTTGTTTTTACACAATTTAGGCACACTACACCAATGACCATGGTTTATAGCAACAATTAAACTTCAGCATGTGTAATCACTTACACTTCCCTTTTACTATGCCATACTTCAATAATATTCACAACAAAGACAACATGCTCCTATCAATCCTAGCCTCAAAAACCAACTAAATGTCATAGTGCATTCATGGCTTGAACACCCAACATCATAGAGAGAAGTCTAATAACATTACCTCTCCCTTGTGAAACCATGTGCCCTTACAACAAGATCAAGAGAGTAAGTTGAATCCATACATTCAAATCAAATGCTCAAATATATTTTAAGGACTAATATATATCAAAGAAAATCTCTCACTCTCACAAAGGAAGTCACACGCATCCAATTGGCACCATAGGCTTGCCCTTAATGTAAATCTCTACTAATGTAGGATCACTCAGTCAAAAATTAATTAGGACTTTTTTATGGTTATAATGTGGGCTAAGGGACGGGAAGGATATATTTAGGAATAGTGGATAACCCTCCTAAGCACTTTAACACATCACACTTTAAGCGCAAATTCTTCAATCGAAATTTTAATTTCACAACTAAAATAATCCCTAACAATGTTCCCTCTTTCTTTAAGCACTACTTTAATTTATTCCCACTAGCAAGAACAAAATATCAATTTATTCATCTAATTTTTTTTTTCTTTTTCTCTTTTGCAATTTTCACTAGTGGTGTATTCTTTTAGAAAAGAAGTGTGCCTTTCTTCCTTTCATTGGTTCCACTCAAAAGTCACCCACACTTAGTCCCTTCTTACTCCTTTTAGCGCTCATCTCACAATTAAAGTATTTTAAGAGGTAAAAAGATCAAAACAATATCAATTTAGAACAAAAGAGGTTTAGGCTTGTAATGTGGGTGCCAAATAAAAGTCTATAAGCTCAAAATGGTTAACTAGGGATATATTTTATTTATGATAAGCATTGAACTCAAAAAGAACAAAGATAGCCTAAAATCATTTTTCAAACCGAGTATCACCTAAAATTTCGTGTCGACTCACATGCCGGGCAAGTTCTAGACACAAGCACAATAACATGGACTATACAAAAATCTCACCATACATGGCACATGACTCACTAAGGATGGTTTCATTCCGATTCTCAAACTACTGCAAGTATTCACGGAGCCACGAGATTTTAAGCATTAAGCACAAAGTGAACATAAGTCAAAAAATGAGACATAGGCTTCACAAAACATGTTATCCAAATAACCAAGGCATCATAAGAACTTTTAGCACATAGGGAAGATAGTACGCATGCCAAAGCCTAAATATGCTACTATCAAACAAGTCAAGGACACCTAGGAATCTCATCTTTCTTCCTCCATTTATTCCTTAATTTCTAATCTACTCTAAAAAAAAGAGGAAAAACTACTACCCGGTTCAAACTACATCCCATGGAAAAGAACTGAGGCACAAAGAAAAATCACAGGGGATTATTACTACCTAAAGAAAGCTAAAAGACATGTTTTTTGGATTTTTGTTTAGACCTTAATCCCTCAAGAAAACTGTCTAGGAGATCCATCGTCGGGAAAAGCCCAATTTTTCTATTTTTTTCGATTTTATTTTTTATTTTTCTTATTTTCCACATTAAAAAAAATAAATTAAGCTACTAAAATACTACACAACTACGAAAACAAAAATAAGAATCTAAAATCTAAATAAGAAGTTAACATTTTTTAACATACTACTTCTAATTATCTAGAGGAATTCTCCCACCCCACACTTAAAAGAGTGCAGTATCCCCAATGCACAAATAAAGCAAAACAATAACAAGGATGGATAAGAAACTCCCTGAAAGGCCAAAG